TGGTTTGTCCTAAACTTTTTCTTATGATTGTAGGTTGAAAATGAAAGTTCTACATGGATAGGAACGTATGCACCTTGAAATCTAAGTGGAAAAAGGTTTCTCTTTAATTCATGAATATGGTTACGAGAAAAAACTTTCACTGATGGATTTTAAAGATCTGATAAAGGTCAATATGGATATTGGTTGTGTTATTGCATTCTCAAATTCTTAATATGATTAGATCATCCCTCTTCATATTTAGAATTGTGAGGAATAGTAAGGAACTGTAAAAACTTTTAGGAGATATGTTTATCACATCTTGAAAAGGTTTGAACACATACACTATACGGATAAAGTGAATAAGCTTAAGAAGCCTAATTAGAGGCTTGGCGAAGCATCACGATATAGGAATCTGCACTTCCTTGAGAAAGTCAAAAGGGTATTGATTTCTAGAAGTCCAGTTGATTTTTGAGTACATATCAAAGCTAGTGGGAGCATAATTGTTTTGTTGGTATTGCATGTTGACAATGCTATTCATAGGGAACAATGTCTCTAGCTGCAAGTTGCAAAAGTAGAGAACTGGTTCGCTATAGTGAACTTAAGGGAGAGGGCACTCATACTTCGTTATGAATCTAAAGGTTTAGATCATATATTTTAATAAAACTTAGTCTAAGACATATATGAATAGCATGTTGAAATGTTTCAACATTTGATATTATACATATGGAAATATTATAGTTTGAACATATATTAAATCCTTATATAATATATAATGAGTCAAGTACCATATGCTTCAGATATAGGATTGATTACATATGCTATAATATTTGCTTATTCTATTTTTCAAATGCTCCGAGCAGTGTGAGAAAAAAAGACTAGAGTTTTAAGTGACTAGATTTACTAAACACACTGTCAAGAACATTTCTGAGGTTTACCGGAGATTGGTTGCTTGTAGATGTTTAGAAGTATGATATTGTTGGGAAGGAGCACAGTGACTCGTTCTGGATATAGATGATTCTTGGTCAGAATTGATGGTCATATGGGAATATGGAAATGTTTCCACAATGGGAGATTGATGCTTAAATAATTATGCACTAGTTTATGCTACTAATGAAACTAATTATTATCTAAGGCAGTGTACCTTGTTGAAAATAGTATAGCTCAATAGACAGGTATCGAACACAGGGAACATAATGTTTAGCTAAATTTTTATCTACTACTAACTAAATTACTAATAAATTTAGAAAAAGGGTTTTCTCCAGTTTTGCAAGACTAGAAACTTAATTAACTAAACTAAATTAACTAACAACTATTAAGGCAAATATTAAAACTAAAAGCAAGAAACACAAAAGACGATTTAAACCAAGGTAATTGAGAGACTTTTGTTTAGATTTGATTTACTTGCTATTATATTTGATTTATGGAAGTGCAATGGATTATTGATTCATTGGTTACTGATTCCTAAGATGACTAGGTTAATGTTCACTAATCCTAATCCTTTAGCAAACAAGCTCATTCATATGGTGATCTGGCGGATAAACTAACAAGTTTACTAGTGTTTAGTTCGAGTTAAATTAGACTTATAACGAATTGATTAATTTGGTTTATTAGCTCAATTCAATATATGATTGGTCGTCATATATTAGCTTGTACGATTATTTACCCACTTTTCTATTTAACCCTAGGTTTTGGTCAAAACTCTAGTCCTACAATTTTGTAATTTCACAAATATCATATGATTCAAGTTTAATTAAGAAAGATGGTCATACAAAACTTAATTAAACTCAACAATAAATAGATAAAGCAGTTCTCATAAGAGCAGAAGGTTCTTAATAAGCTAAAATACCAAATAACCAATAAAACTTAATCCTAACCATAAATCAAACCATAAGTCAAGCAAACCTACACTAAACGAAATTCATAGGGTTTTAGCCCATGATTTCAGCAATCAAACATAGAAAAACGAAATTCATAGTAGTAAACATGATTAATCTAAAGAAGAAAGTCGTAATTAAGAGTTGTATTGCCTTAATGCTCTAACTCCCCAAGCTATAATCGACTTCTTCACTTCCACGCTTCAAAACGAATCCTTAGCCTTCAAAAATCGACAGTAGCTTCCAGGAAAAGCTATAATTTTGGAGGAGAATGGCTGTATTTATACTTTTCCCGAAAACAAATCAACACGACGTGGTAAGCCCACCACATCGTGCTCTTCGTGGTTATCCCGTATTCAGCAAGTCTTCTATATGAGTCGGAAAAGTCCAAAACACCATGTCGTGGGAATGTCACGACGACGTGGAGAGTGTATTTTTCTTCATTTTAAAGTCTTGATTCAAACTCCTAGCTTCCAGCCTCCAGCTTCTAGCTTCCAGCTTCCAGCTTCTTTTTGCTCCAAGCATGTCTTTTAGCCCTACAACACAATATACAATAAATTAAGTATCTTTTTTTCTATGAAGGGCATAAAAGTAACTAAAAATATTAAGATATGATGTAAAATTATATGTATAGATATGCACATATCAAAATACCCCACACTTATTCTTTGCTTGCCCCCAAGCAAATTGATTTTTTATCTCACCAATATCGCATAAAACAATCCATTTCAAACCCAACCATTATCCCAAGATTGCAATGCATGTATTTGTATCAATGGTTCCTAAAAACTTCCCATTCCTAAATACTCACAATCCTTATGAACCTTCACCCATTAGCTTATACGACATTCATTTTTGCAACCCTCCGAATCCATCCCCATAAATCTTTTTTAACCTCAAGGTAATTTTGGTTAAACTACCAAGCATACATAAATTATATAAAAATTACAACTTGATACCACAATGGAGCTCTTTGGAATTCGTCTCTTATTTGATATTTGCCTTTAAATTTCTTTGAATTCACCACCTTTTTGTTTGATTTTTGGTATCTTCAACTTTTTGAATTTCTTCAGAATTTTGATCTTTGGATTTCATACTTTGACAGCTCCAAAATTCTTCACTTTTTGGTAATTTCTCTCTTTTTTATATATATCTCACTTTTTTCACTAAAATCCTACATGCTTAGGCAAGGAGCTTAACTTCAACCTTTATTAGTTAGAGACATTAGTCTAAGTGCAATGACTAAATAAGCTCTCCTGGATAGATTTCAAGTACAGGTTGCAAACCGTATTATGCCATATAAACTACCAGATTAACTTTCATACCTCATGGCTTTTCACTAATAATGGGAAGCCACAGATACACTATAACATGTGTTGGCTCGGGTAAACATTTAGGCTCTCATCGGATCATCCTATCCAATACTAGTAAAAAATTTAATTAGCTAGGGTTTCCTAAATTAAACTATTATTTCAAGTCTATATGAATGCATGTTTGTGAAAACTAGCAGTGCAAATTTTTAAAAAAATCAAATGCTTTTTTCCTAATGCAATATACCCCCTACCCCACACTTATTTGATGTAATTCCCTCATTGCATGCTATGCAATATAGAAAAGTAAAGAGGGATAAAAAGGAACAGACTCCCCTAGGATAGAAGATGCATCGTGAATCGTGTTGCTTATGTTTAGGATCGCTTGCTCATAAGTGTTAAAACGGAAGTGGTTGATCGCTACGGAACTTTACTTTAGCAATTGTACACTTATACTTCGTAATGTATAGGATAAGACTTGAAAATTGGACTTGAGAAGGCACCACCTCATGGTAAGAGGTACCACGTCGTGGTGGATGGTGCAAATTTTTTTTCGTTTTCTATTAGCGACACCACGTTGTGGTAAGGGATACCGCGTGTGGTGGTAGTAAAAATGCAAAAATATGTGCATTCTTCAGCAGATTTCTTCATTAAATTTGTCACCAATAAAGATATGCAGTTCTAGAAACGTGACTCTTCACTCGGTGGGTCAAAATGATGCTCGATATGCTCAAATATCTCCTCTCTCGCCGCTTTTCTAATTTTTCTCTAAAACGCATCAATCTCTCATGAAAATAACTCCTCACTCGAACTCAAAATTTCCTAGGAATCTAAAGACAAGAAAAATGATAAAACAAGGAAACAAATAAAAGCAACCAAATCCTAAATTACAATTATCCAAACAAACCAAACAAAAACAAACCAAAATAAACCAAACAAACAAAAATTGTCTTAAATCCACTTCCAAATAAAAGGATAAAAATCAATCACTCCTCCTCATCATCATTAGCTCCACCTCCACTTTCGCTTGCTCCACCTTGCTATTCATGCCATAACTCTTCCCAGCTTTGTATGTACAGGTATGTGGCTGGATAAGCACTTGGCCTCTGAAGGTTCATGTGTTGCATAAGGAGATCCAAATGCATGTTAGTGTAATTTATGCCCTATCCCAAGTTATCTTAATGCCTCCTTAGAGAAACATTGTAAGGGTCCATAGGAAGATCTTCTTCGATCGGAATGACTGGTGGTTCATCATCACCCGTATCGCCGCCTCTTTGTCTTACCATCCTCCCGGGTTGGTTTCCCGGGGTATGATCAGGAATAGAGAAATTACCATACCCGTTGTCAATGACAATACGGGCATGTTTGTACAAAAGATGTGAAAAATATTTGCCAGGCTCAATTGTTAAGAAAGAGGCATCACGTTTTCCGAAGATCCCAAAAGAACGTGCCAAGCGAGTGATCAATATCCCACCATAAAGAGGGGACCAACGTCGATCCTTGCTTGCCCAGACTGCCAAAAATTCCGCAACGAGATATGGAATGTCAAGACGGATGTTCGGTGTGATGAGGCACCATAGAAAGAAAACATCCAATGCCGGGAATTGTCGCCCTCCTATCTCTAGTTTATGGTGTTGGTGATCAATCTGTGAAGGAGGCAGTGTAAAGGGGACTGAATCTAACTTTCTTGCGCGGTCCCGAAATTGTATGTCCCATTGGCTATATTTGGCCAATTGGTGTCGTCCTTAAAACCATCGGTGGTCCGGATACAACCAGTGATGAACTCAATATACGACTCGGTATGAACTTCGAACGGTAATAAAGTTTCGTTCGCATCTCAAACTCGGTTAAGCTCAGCTTGCACCTCTCTCCCTAAACAAAATGTGATGTTCTTTGGTTCATGGATACCAATTTGTCTCCGGAATGTAACTGTCGCCAAGAACTCAACCACCAACTCCTTGTAGACCACGTCTTGAATGTGAAAGAATCTCCTCCATGCCATGCATACGAACCTTCCTTGAACGCCATCAAAGGATTGAACCAAAAATGGTTCAATAGCTTATGACAAACTAACTTCTTCCATCCATGACCAGTTGACTTCAGCTGGGACATGCACCTTGCGTTCTTTCATCCAAGAAAGCTTCCCATTCCATTGAGCAAGAACTTTTGGACTCACTACCCTCGAAAACGTGTACCACGGGAAGTCGGGATGACCCTCGGGTTGGTTTCTTCTACCATGGTTAGCCATTATCTGCAAAAGAAACGAAAACACAAAACCAAACAACCAGTTGCAAGCTTAGAAATCAAATCAAACAGATTAGACTGATTAATCACTGACCACGACAAGTCGTCGTGGTCGACGAATTGGTCGAATAAACTAGGAAAAATCGAATAAATTTTAGACCATAATCAACTCCAATCAAGTCGAGGGTTTGCTAAGGGAATAAAACCGAGTAAGTTCAAGTAAAATGCAAAGTATAATCATCAAAAACTAAGTCCTATTTTGACAAAAGTCGGAACCCTAACTTAGGAAATCTCCCTAAATATCAGTTTATAACAGCAAATGTGCACCATGGATACCCATATACTCGATTATTACAAAGAAGTCAAGTGAAAGATGTTCCATTTTTGTTGTAGAAATCGAAAATTTTAAGGCAGTTGGGAAGGAGTCTTTGTGGGAGAAGAGAGCACGGCAAGAAGGGATGGTAAGTTGAAAAGTAAAAGAAAAATGACCGGTCAAGTAAGATAAACCCTAATTTTTTTTTTACTGCTGTCTAATCGACATCACGTCATGATGAGCCCACCACATCATGATGATTTATTGAAATTCATGAATTTGGTTTCTATAAAGTCACCACATCATGGTGTAAAAAACAATTTCGTTTTAACCAAATTTTCATAAAAAACTACCACCCCACACTCATTCCATGTTATTTCTCTCAACAAAATCCACATAAAAATTCAAAGGAGTGAAAAATCAAAAATCAAAAATAAAACAAAATAAAACAAAATAAACAAAAATAAAGAAAAGGAAAGAAAATGCAAACTCTAAACCATAGGTCTCCTCCTGCAAGCGCTTCTTTTTGGGGAGTCGTGAGTCGTACTCCTTCCCGCTCTCCGTTGATTCGGCTCGCGCAAACTTCATAATTTCCCCTTATTTTTCTTCATTTGACATGCTTTCCTTATAGTGCTTTACCCTATGTCCATTAACCTTGAAGGGAGTCCCATCTCTTGCTGTCAACTCTATGTCCCCATATGGAAAAACTTGTTTTACAATAAATGGCCCATCCCAACGAGTTTGTAATTTTCCGGGAAAACCTTTCATCTTGAGTTAAAAAGTAGAACCTTTTGCCCCTCTTGAAAGTATTTGTGTCGTCTTAACCTTGCATCATGCCATTTTTTTGTTTTATCTTTGTAAATTAAGGAACTTGTATATGCTTCATTTCGTAATTCTTCAAGAGCATTCATTTGCATTATACAATTAGCTCGAAGTTCAGTAAATTCAAATTTTTAATTCTTCAAAGCCCAAAATGCTTTATGTTCAATTTCCACCGGTAAGTGACAATTCTTCCTATATACCAACCTATATGGTGTAGTACCAATAGGTGTTTTAAATGTGGTACGAAATGCCCATAATGCATCATCAATCTTTTCCGACCACTCATTCTTATTACTTCCAACCGATCGCTCCATAATTCTTTTCAATGCCCGATTTGTGACTTTGGTTTGCCCACTTGTTTGTGGATGATATGGTGCTGCAAATCCATGGTGTATACCATATTTTTGTAATACCTTGGCCAATTGTTCGTTTGCAAAGTGAGTTCCCCGGTCACTAATAAGAGCCTTCGAGACACCGAATCACGAAAATAATCTTTTTAGAAAACAAACCACTACTCGAGCATCATTTGTAGGTAATGCTTGTGCTTCCGCCCATTTGGATACATAATCGACCGCCACCAATATATATTTATTTCCTCGAGACATTGGAAAAGGTCCCATGAAGTCGATCCCCCAAACATCAAATATTTCACAAACTTGGATTACACTTTGGGGCATCTCGTTTCGGGAGGAAATGTTTCACGACCTTTGGCATGAATCATATATTTTGAGAAATTGGGTTTCATCTTTAAAAATTGTCAGCCAATAAAATCCGGAATCAAAGACCTTCTCTGTCGCATACTGTGCTCAATGATGTCCTCCGGTGGGTCCGTTATGGCAATGTTTCAATATTTCTAGACTTTCTTTCCCGAACACACATCTTCTTATCATTCCATCCGAACAGCTTCTGAAGAGGTATGGCTCATCCCAAAAGTAATACTTGACTTCTGAAAATAATTTCTTCTTTTGTTGTCTAGTTAGTTCTTTTGGAAGATAATCAATAGCCAAGTAATTGGCTATGTCTGCATACCATGGCACCTCTCCTGCGATTACCATTAAATATTCTTCGCGAAATTCGTCTCCAATCTTGTTTTCTTCTAACTCTTCCAATCCCGGGTTTTCTAGTCTTGATAAGTGATCGGCCGCCACGTTCTCCATTACTTTTTTATCCCTTATTTCTATGTCGAATTCTCGTAAAAGTAACACCTATCATATCAATCTTGGTTTAGCATCCTGTTTATCAAAAATATACTTAAGGGCATAATAGTCAGTAAACACAATAGTTTTAGATAAAACTAAGTAAGGGCGGAATTTATCAAAAGCATAGACCATAACAAGGAGTTCCTTTTCGGTAGTAGTATAATTCTCTTGAGCCGGATTGAGAGTCTTGCTTGCATAATATATATGGGTTGAAAATGATTATCAACCCATTGTCCAAGAACAACTCCAACTGCAAAGTCACTTGCATCACACATAAGCTCAAATAGGAGATTCCAATTTGGGGCTATCATGATAGGAGTATTGGTTAATTTCTCCTTTAATAGTTGAAAGGCTTCAAGGTATTCTTTGGAGAAATCAAATGTATCATATTTCAAGAGAAGTTGGGTTAATGGCCTTTTACTTTTTTAGAAGTCCTTTATGAATCGGCGGTAAAATACCGCATGGCCCAGAAAACTTCTTACCCCTTTCATATTTGTAGGAGGTGGTAACTTGGCTATTGTGTCAACCTTTGCATGATCCACCTTTATTCCAAACTTGGAGACTTTATGCCCCAAAACAATTCCTTCTTTAATCATAAAATGGCATTTCTCCCAATTTAAGACCAAGTTGGTCTTTTCACGTCTTTCTAACATTAAATCAAGGTTGGACAAGCAATCTTCAAAAGTGGAGCCGAAAATCGAGAAATCATCCATGAAGACCTCCATAAAATTTTCAATAATGTTGTGGAAAATTGCCATCATGCATCTTTGGAATGTGGCTGGTGCGTTGCATAACCCAAATGGCATTCGTCTATAAGCAAAGGTCCCGCTCGGGAAAGTGAACGTGGTCTTTTCTTGGTCTTGTGGATCGATAGAGATTTGAAAGTATCCTGAAAATGGTCTAAAAAGCAGTTATAGAGATGACCGGATAATCTTTCGAGCGTTTGATCTATAAATGGTAAAGGAAAATGGTATTTTCATGTAGCATCGTTTAGCTTACGATAATCGATGCACACACGCCAACCGGTTACCGTTCCTTTTGGAATGAGCTTTTTTTCTTCGTTGGTGATTACCATCATTCCTCCTTTCTTAGGTACCACGTGCACCAGACTCACCCATTGGCTATCCGATATTGAATAAATGATACCGGCATCCAAGAGTTGGATTACCTCTTTCTTCACTACTTCTTACATGTTTTGGTTTAGTCTCCTTTGGCATTGAACCACTGGCTTAGCTTCCTATTCTAGGTTGATTTTATGCGAACAATATGCAGGACTAATGCCTTTTATGTCGGTGATCTTCCATGCTATGACATTTTTTCGTTTCTTAAGTACCTCCACTAGGCTTTCGTTTTCATGTTTTGCGAGATCAACTGCTATGATGACCGACTTTTGTTGATCTTCTTCCAAAAATGCATACTCCAGAATCCAGATGTTCGGGCAAGGCTTTCAACTGAATTTTTGGTTTTTGGTCAGTGACCACGATGTGGGCATCCTGCCACGTCGTGGTGTCACAGTTTTTTACGTCTGATCATAAAAATTCTAATGACCACGTCGTGGTGTCAGTGCCACGTCGTGGTGTTTCTTCAGCTTCTTTTTTCAATTCGTTGTACTCTCTCTCTTCCAGAAGCTTCTCTAGCTCTTTTATGTCAAGTTCAACATCAAAATCTCCCTCTTCTAGAACCGTGTATCCCTCAGTTTTCTTTTCTTTCCATCCTCCAAGCTCCTTTTCTAGTAATTCATGAAACACATCAATTGAAAAAGTCATATCATCACTTATCCTTAAGTGTTGGATTGCTCGATTTACTCTAAAAGTGACTGCTTCTTCTCCAACTCATAGAGTGAGTTTGGATTCTCTTATATCAACTAAGGCTTGGACGGAGCTCAAAAATGGCCTTCCAAGAATAATCGGGACTTGTTCGTCTTCCTCCATGTCTAAAACAATAAAATCTGCGGGAAAAACAAACTTGTCCACTTTAACTAGTAGATCTTCACAAATTCCTCTTGGAAATGTCATCGTTTTGTTGGCTAAGTGGATGACCATGCAGACCGGTCTTGGTCACGGGAGATCAAGTTTCTTGAAGAATGAATAAGGCATCAAATTAACACTTGCTCCCGAGTTGGGTAGAGCATGGCTTGTGGCTAGATTTCCAAATTGGAACAGAAGTGCCCGGATCACCCATATTCTTTGGTAGCATATTCAACATTGCAGTTGCGCAGGTTTCATTTAGTACCACCTTAGATATTCCCTCCATCTTCTTTCGGTTAGTTAGGAGATCTTTCAAAAACTTCGCATACTTTGGCATTTGAGCCAAGGCTTCAAGGAATGGAATATTGATTTCAAGGGACTTTATGTGATCTAAGAACTTCTGGTAGTCTTCAACACTCTTTTCTTGTCTTGCTATAGTTGGAAAGGGCAGCGGTGGGTGGTATGGCTTAACGGGTTCAACACTTTTCTTTTCAGGTTCCTACCACGTCGTGGCGTCCTCATCACGTCGTGGCGTCCTCACCACGTCGTGGCGACTGTTTAGACTCTTTTCTTTGACTTGCTTCTCGACCTTCCCACTGATTATCCGAGTTGTTTCTATTAATTGGAGTCATATGGGTAACAATTTTCCCACTTCTTGTTGTAATAGCTTGGATGTGAGCTCCTTTTGGGTTTTGCTCGGTGT